GTGGCGCCCCCTCCAGCTTAGAAAATACCATACGTGTTTATGGTTAATTCATTAGATAGGATGAAGTCGACAGGAAAGTTTCTGGGCGACCTGTGGAACCAGAGTTTGGTTTTATGAATTTAATCTTATAATCTTCTTATTCAGTATTTTTGAAAAAAGTCCAAAGTCTGAAAGAAAAGAAAGAACTCCATGAAAAGTTCTGACCTTTATCTGAAGGATCTTTCAAATTCTGACTTTTCTCAAATCTTTCTTAAAATCATTATTCTTCACTCTGTTTGAATTCAACTGCGAAACGTGATCAAATAACGGACCTGATTGACCTATTCTGACTCAAAGTTGTTGTTTGTTGGTCTCCAAAGGTACAGAGGAGCTTCAGGAAGTTCTGCAGTTTGTTCCTTCACCATGGAGCAGGTGGAAAAAGCCTTCAACGGTCGATACAGAGAAGTGAACCGGGAGACGCAGCAGTGGTACACGTACAACCATCCAGTCCCTGAACCGCGACCTGGAGCGGTGAGTATCCCTCTGCTGCCCTCTGCTGGAGGAGACACGCAAATACACACAAATGTGTATCTGTATTGGTGTTTAAAATTCAGGAGTCAGTTGAAATATGCACAGGACCAAAAGTAAAAAAAAAAAATCATCATTTTTTAATATATTTACTGCAGGTGAAAGTATTAAAAAAAAATAGCGAATCAGACAGTAAAAGTCAACGCTAAATGTCAATGTCAGTTGAAAAATAATTAAAAATCAGGCAAAGAGATGATAATAAAAAATGTTATCGATGAAGGTTTTATGTAAGATGGCTCAAAGTTGAGAGACAGCCCAGGAATAGCTAAAAGAAAGCAAATATTTGGAATTAGGATAAACCTGTCAAAAAAGAAAAAATGATTAAAAGTGAGTCTTAGAAGTGTCTAAAAGTTAGGAGAAATATCCCTTATTAATTGGTTTTAAAACATAAAATAAAAATGTCTAAAAGACAGATTATCCAGGTAGATTAGCCACATTAGAAATAAGGTTAAAGGTTAGCCCAGAATTAGCTCACAATAACCACAAAATAAATAGTCCAGAACCCCATGAGTTACTGTGGAGCTGCCAGTCAAAGCCCAGCTCTCAGAGTCACTGACTTCTGTTCAACATCGTTCCACCTTTTGCTGCTTCTCCAGTGCATCACCAATGCAGCCAGACAGCAGGGCATCTCCTCCTCCCTGCAAATGCCGGACAAGGTGCTGAACTTTGTCAAAGACCACTTCCTGATGGACAGCGTGATCCGCAGCCAACCGCTGCTGCTGAAACGCAACGTCCGCTACACGCAGATCGCCATCCACCGGGTGCACATGGCAGGGAAGGCCTACGACGTGCTGTTCATCGGCACAGGTATAACAGGAAGGTCCAACCTTCACCGCGCGCTCAGGTACGTCCACCTGTGTCTGTGACTGTGTGACTCACACTGTGGCTCTCCTCAGATGACGGACGGCTCCACAAGGCCATTAACATCAACAACAAGATGCACATCATCGAGGAGATGATTATCTTCCGAGATTCCCGGCCGGTGCAGCACATGGAGCTGGATACGGAGAAGGTAGGGGGCGGTGACGGCGGAGAGCTTGTTTGTTTTCAACGCAGCTTTCCCGTGGCGTGAACTAATAATGAGCTCTGTAAATGCATTTACGAGCAGTTTACAGACTCCGCCAGGCTTGAAGCTGAGCCCGTGTTCTAAGTGCTAATTGCGTTCAACTTCCTCTCGGGGGGGATTTGTAAACAGTCGGGGGGGGCGGGGGGGTGTTCAGCGGCCGCAGGTTGTGCAGCACTTGTCTTCCGGGCACGTAGTATATTTGCTCCGAGTTGTGCTTTCAGGCAGTGAAATGTATTTTAATTTGTGCTGGAATTGGTTTGTAGTCAGAAAGTGTAGATGCTGGATTAAAAAAAATAAAAAATCTATCTGTGTCTGCTGCTTTTTTTTTTTGACTTTTTTGACTTTTTTCACTGCTTTGTCTTCTTTCCTGCACAGGGTCGTCTTTATGTTTCCTCCTACTCTGAGCTGGTGGAGGTCCCATTGGCAAACTGTTCTAATTATCAGAGCTGTGGGGAGTGCATTCTCTCCAGAGATCCTTACTGTGTCTGGAGTGGGAGGCAGTGTGTGAACGTCAGACAGGCGTCGGTGAAAAAGTGAGTACAGTCATTGGTGCAGTGGTGCAGCGGTGTGTATCCCTGCCTGCCATTTAGAAGTTTCAATCAATCAGGATTGTCTCTGGGCAGGAAGGACATCCAGTGGAAACGCTCCAGTTCAGACCAGTGGATTCTAACCATTTGGTTTGGCTGTATCTGTGTTTGACGCAGGTTTAGAATATGGTAAAATGTTACCACGCTAATATATTTGCAAACATTGTTTTCCTGCTTTCGGCACTTGTACTGTAGTAGACGTCATTTCAGAGTGACGTATTTTTTGGACTCCACTCGCTCAGGAGTGATGTACCAATAGTATTAAAAAAAGTGCGACTTATAGGAGTAGCAGATACTGGTACACAAGCCTAGAGTGTCCTCTAGTGGCTGTGAGTGTGAAAATAACAGACGAGAAATTATATATTTTAATATATAAGTCGCGTCTGAGCATAAGTCACGAACTCAGCCAAAGGATGAAAAAAAAGTGTGACTTATAATCTGGAAAATATAGTATCTGTTTTTTTAGTGTTGGCAAGCAAATTTTAAAAATGCTTTAAAATATGTATCCCATAGGAGAAAATTAATTTGTATAAAATAAATTATTTAATCAGTGCCAGATTTGGCCCCCGAACTTCACCTGATCTACCACATTTAAAACTTGTGACTTCACCTTGAACACACCTGATCTACCACATTTAAAACTTGTACTTGTACTGATAAAAGCTGATGTATTTTATCAACACAATGTTCTGATTTGTGATCATTTTATTTTGAGCCACATTTTGATTAAATGTCTTTATCTCAGTCTGTGGCTGCAGGATGTCGACGTCGCAGACGCGTCTGCTGTTTGCAACAAAACAGCTCCAAGTCCACGTTCTGCGAAATATCCACCGACACGTGAGTAAAGTCCTGTTGCGCACAGCTACCGACACGTGAGTAAAGTCCTGTTGTGCACAGCAAAATGCAGCTACGGCAGCGAGGCTAATTTGTTGATTTCACTCATACGCCTTCCTAACTGAGCGTCACCCTCTAC